AGCAGATATAGCATGCTCAAGCTGTCCAGCAACCGTCAGTCAGGATCCAATCACACGCCTGTGGCAGGAACACACCTGGCAGCATTTGAAGTTTGAAAGAGTTACAATGAGTAAGGGATTTGGGCTCGTTGTTCAGGGAATGCCCATACATTTAGTTCATTCCATGCATGCATGATTCTTATTAGAGACCATCCATTCATTACTGTTACTTGTTTATCCTCCCAGGATTGTGGGGGCTTGGTGCCCATCTCCAGCAGCCATTGGGCAAACCGGCAGGGTACACCCCGTACAGGTTGCCAGTCCATCGCTGGGCCGCACAGAGACACAGGACAAACAACAACACGTGCTCACATTGACACCTACGGACAATTTGGAGAGACCAAGTAACCTAACAGTCACATTTTTGGACTGTGGGAGAAAGCCGAAGAGAACTTATGCATGAGAACATTCAGACACCACGCAGAAGGACCCATGGTTGAGATTTGATCCTGGAAGCTTCTAGCTGTAAGGCAGAATCTCCCAGGTAACAAGATACCTTTTAAAAGTTACTAATAAAGCTTTTCAAAGTTACAAAACACAATACCAATTTGTTTTATTACTGCGAGAATGACTGGTGTCAGCTAATGCCAGTTGATTTCAGCAAATGAAATCATAGCATAACTTAAGGGGATGTAATACCTGTCTCGGGAGGGAAGCGCTCTGAATGATCTGCACACCCTTGGCGGGGCCAAAGGGGAGCTGCAGAACTCAGAAAAACCAAAGAGGAAGAGTCACATTTCCCACCGAGCGCCCTGAGCATGTTTTTATCCTGTTGAGTAAAGATAGCCAGTGTTGCAGGATGACTTAGATGGTGCTTGAATGTGAAACTAAACTGCCTGAAGGAAACATGTGCTCTTTGTCCATAGTTCAGTGCTGTAACACTGAAAGCTCACACTGCACATTTGTACAGCAATCCCAGTAAAAGTTAAGTAAAAGCTTTTAATGCGTTTTCCAGTGCCTTTTGATTTATAACACAGACATTTAAAGATATGGAACAATCCTGTTGATCACAGATGCTGCTGAAGATGGAGAGTACTTAGGAACTTCCCGTGCTGTTTATAGTTTATAGTCTGCTGTAAACAGTGAAGGATTTAACAACACTCACCTTTTAATCCTCGTGATTCACTTCACTTTAGCTGTAGTATGGATAAGAAGGTATCATATGTAGTTCTTTAGTCAGGTTGCTGTAAATATTTGGTGGAAGGATGGATAAGCCCCCTCATGCAGAAAGCCCTCAAAAACCAAAGTCCACTTCATTAAACCCATCATGCAGTCATTTGATCCAAACACACCTGCACTACTAGAGCTTTTGAGTCTTCAGCTAACAGGGTTCTTGGGAGGCAGACACCTTTTCTACCTTTAGGGTGGTCTTAAAAGAGTTTTTTTCTTTTTTCTTTGAGCCTCAATAAAGCACATGGAACTTTGTTGAGTTGCCATGGCCCTTAACGGCCAAGCACGACCCTATAATAAAGGCTTAAAATGGGTGCATGAACAACAAATGTCCACTAGGGTGGGGGAAGTGCAGTGCTGGTGTGTGGACAAACGATGAACAAAGTGACAGGGATCTATCTGGCCTTCGTTCATAGTCTGGCTATTCCCAGTGCATCCTGGAATGCCAGTGGTGCTCCAACATTCTTCTTTGTTTTTTCCTCTGGTCCAACATGGACCTTAGCAGTAGCACAGGCTAGCATTAGCAGTAGCTCTGGCTAGTGTTGTTCTGCAGTTAGTATGTCCTTGACCAACATTTAAAAGCCGCCAACACTGATGGGTTATGACATGCAGACCGGCTTTTCTCAGAATGAATCTTTTCTCAGCAGCCTTTACAAAATTACAAATTTACATACGAAAGCAGGTCGGTGACGGCACAGACTATTTGGTGTGCTACATTAAACACTCAGAGCTACGATACCACAACAACAACAATAACAAGGTAAATGTGGCTTTGAATTCTAGGATCACTTTGAGATTGGGTTAAAATTATTTTTATAAAATAATATTTTCACTTTTGTTGCTTGCTTGATTTCTTATTTAGGGTTTGTTTTGAATATTTTTAATTATTTTAATTATTACAACAAAACTAGTCTAAAGAAACTAAACAAATAAATGTAATAAACTGTCATGTGGAAAAATTAACTCTAGACATGAGATACGTAGCTTATGTTCCAGTTTGTGCTAACTTAGTTAACATCCATGGATCCAACATTTATCAGGTAAGTTATCAGACATGTCACTCTACCTTTTATCCTTTGTCATCCAGACATCACTTGCTTTGGTCTTCCTAGTTAACTGTTCACATCGTATCAGTGATGTAATTTGGTAACTGGTTCACCAGCTCAGTAACCTAGTGGTCTGAGTGTCCGCCCTGAGACTGGGAGGTTGTGGTTGGGTCATACCAAAGATGTAAAAATGAGACCGAAAGCCTCGCTGCTTCATAATCAGCTTTAAAGGGCTCAATTTAGGGGTTAAACCACCAGATAGTTCCCGATTCTGGCAGTGTCTGCAGCTCACTGCTTCCCCAGCGGGAGGATAGAATGTGGAGAAAATATTTTACCGGTGTGTGACGACTAATGGGACTTTTAACTTAACTGATCAGCCTAAGACACATTCAGATATTTAAGGTGTTGCACTTTTCCAGACATGAACTACCTTTCTAATATTTTTATCAGTCCCCTTTTCTTGTGACCAACGGCAGGAAAAGGCTCTTGGAAACAAATATTTGCTCAGCTTTGCAAGAAGAGAAATGGTGGTGTTCTAGTGAAAACCCTCGTGTGTAAAACACATCATAGTCAAACAAATAGTTATGCGTGTCCAAACCAGTACGGTATGAGTCACAGATCCATTCTAGATCCACTCCTCTCCACCCCATGACCCTGGGATTAGTTCACTCCAACAACACTTTCTGTTCAAAGCTCTTTATTCTTGAAAACCAGACTGTTTTCAGACAACACAGTGTAATGAGTTCTCTTGAGTGTGAGTTATTGCTTTGCCCCTTTTAAACCATTAAATAAACAACGTGCTACACATGTCAGTGCTTACAGTAACCTCTGAGAATAACTGATTTATGTTCTGGTTTAGTCCTTTTCCTGCTTTGCTGCTGAGACTCTCGTCTTTGGCCATTTTGATCAGGCTAGTTTTCTTTGAGAACAGCTTAATTAATTACTCCTATATACTCTTCTTACTGCTTCTTATCAATTGTAACTAAAGTGAGCTAGCAGGTGCCACAGTGATGCCCATCTTTGAGCTTCAGCTTTAACTGAATAAAGCTTTGTGCAGGGTGGAGGTCCTTCTGCATTACATTTACTGGACTTTTTGGCATCCAGTTGGAACATTACACTGCTGTGTGAATGAAGAGATGTGAGGTAGCTGGAAGCTTGAGCTCCACCAAAAGCACCACATACTATAATGATCCCTGATCCCTCTCAACAAACATCATCATATTTGGTCTGATAAATGTTTGCTGTGCTGTAACTGAAATGTAAAAACATTCGACCAGGAAGCAGAATAACTGGGTATTGATTAGCCCCCTGAGACGTCAGTGCTGAGGACACAATTGCACATTTAGGTCTAAAACTGTGTGATGGACATGAAAAGGTAGAAAGTGACATTCTGTCTTGTTGTCCATGGAAATAGGAAAGTGGTGATATTTTGCTCTAGAATGAACCAGCGCTATACTTTTTTATCTTAGAAACAACTCTTCAAAGTACAAGGACCATGCTACTGGGTTAATAACGGCAGCTGCTGTTAGATGCTTTAATGACCTAATCCAATGGCTTCCATAGTGGTGTTGGCTGGTTGTACAGAGCTGGTTCATTTAAACATGAAACACTGATGGGACTCAACGAAGAGCTGTTGGAAAGCTTGAAAGAGCAGAATGTAATAGGTAATCTGGAAAGAGCCAGAATTCCTATTAGGATAGAGAAGGAACAGGTGCCAACTGGTTCCATAACTAACAATCTCAATTTTAAGCCTTTTTGCGTGTTCGGTTTAACAGTCTGACATCTCGTTTAGCTTTAACACACCTGTTTTAATAAGTAGGTGATTCTTAAAGTGACAAAGTGTAGTTTTTACTGTTAATCTCTGGAAATATCCACAGAAACATTGTTGAAATAGAAAGAAATGATGTCCAGTCGTTTCAAAATATTGGCAGTTTTGAAACATGTAACCATAAAAATCAGGCCTAAAGTACATAGAACACAGGTCTAGGGTCTTTGGGGGATGCCATATTAGATGCCATGTTTCCTTCTGGCCGACTTGGGGTCCTGAGCCTGTTGATGACATCACACTAGATGATTGGCTGGATGTACAACTTACAAAAGTTACGTTACCACATTCAAAAACATTTAGGTGATAAGAAACATGAATTTAATAACAAAAATGCTAAACTCTTCAAAACATATGTGAAAGAACAGAATCAAAAAATAGGTGGAATCTTTTTTGGCCGAACGGTATTGTCGTAGTATGATGACATCATCGGTAGGCACTGGACGCCGAGCAGATCCAGAAAGCACGTAGCCAGAAAACTACAATCAGCATTGCATTCTTTTGATGGAATTAAGAGTCACGCCAAAGTTGCATGCTTACTGCTCCACAGGTAATAACATTTACCGTGATGTTTTTAAACTAGCGAATGTCATGGCAATATGGTGTAAAACTACCCTGAAATGTATGTATGTACTGCCCCCTAGTGCCAGGAAACTACACACTGCCACTTTATTCCCTGTGTGGTACTCATGACTTGTTCCAGGGATGTCTGAAATGGAAAAAGATCGAGACTGCTTAGATTGATTTTATGGAACACAAATGGATATTTATGGCAGCAAGGAGCCGAATCAGCTGCTGCTAAACTATTTATCAACTTACTGGTGGTTGCTTATATATGTGTGTATATATATATATATATATATATATATATATATATATATATATATATATATATATATATATATGTATATACTCATAGCTCATTTTGGAAAAAACATCATGACTGCACGCAGATCAGGAAAAAAATGTGTTTTACTTAATAAAAGGACTAAATATATTATGGTGTGGATAATTTGACCTGTGGCACCAACATCATTTGAGGTACTTTTTGTTAATACAGCACTACTCTGTTTAAAAATATGGGTTTTCAAAGGAAGTTGTGATTTCACTAGATTGCTGTTGATCTGAAGACTTGTAGAAGAATTTCCTGTTTCTGATTGTCAAAACTGTCTGGAATGAGTGGACTAGCCGTGCATAGCATTGTGAAAGTAGACCCTGGTAAATAATCAAACGTGTGTTAACACATGTGGAATCTGCGGGTTGTATTTTCTGAACTAGGCTCAGTGTTGGTCATTTGGACAAGAACAGTCCCCAATGTTAACGTTTTATGGTCAACGCTAACACTTTTACGGCAACCACTGTCACAGTGTCCTACTCACCACACTGGTCAAGGCACGTATAAAGTCTCACCGTCAAGCACCTTTGCAGCCTTGCATCATAGTCTCAAAGTGAGTTTTTAACTTGTTTTCTTCTTTTTTTAAAAAAAGGTTTTTGGAATATCTTTCAATAAATAACACAAATATATTCATACGTCATATATAGATAGATAAACATGTATTTACTACACGCATTTCATATAATTTAAATAATTTATATGTACAGCATCCTACCCCCCACCCCGCCCATCTCAATACAGTTCTTCCAACAACAACTTGCAGCACAGTGAATTGAAATATTATGTAAATGGACCCAAGATTCCTCCAAGAGAATCGTCATTTGTAATGTAACTGTCACATGGAATCCTGTGGTGGAAGTAAAATCCTGTACAGGAAGTAGAATTCCAGGCAGGCAGCTCCCAGAACATTTTTTCTTAGTTTTGCTTACGTCTTACGGCGTTTCCGTGACAATGCACACACACAGGAAGTGTCTATGCGTATCCACCTCCATCCCACTTTATTCTGAGCCTGTGTTAGGGCTCGGACATACGTCTGTGTCGTCTTGCATTGAGAATTCCAGTTCTTGTCATCGATCCCCCTGCAGCCTCCTTTACTGGTTCCCGGGGTCCGACAGCGCGTCTCGTAAAAGAATTGTCTGACGTCCTGCGTGGCGCTAGTTTTGATTTTGGCTAGAACAATCACGGGTTCTCCTTTGGTGTCCACGGCGTGGTCTTTGTCCGTCACCCACTGGCTCTCACTGTCGCAGACAGAATATTCCCCACGGTAGCTCCTGTGTCCAGTGTTGCGCTTCCTACGCGTCCTGTTCCCCATTGCGCCCCTGTCTGGTCCACCGCTTACAAAGTCATCAGCTGAGTAGAGCGGCGGTGGCTGTAGTGGTGGCCGGTCGCTCAGCAGCACCCGAGGTGAACTGTATTGCTTCTGCTTCCTGAGGAGATCTGAGTTTAACAGCATCACCTGTTGCTCGACGGCACCGTTACTGCTACCGCCGCTACGACCCCAGGATCCCCAGTGCTCCACATCAGGGAGAGGAGGCAGTGTTTCCTGCAGGGCCATATCCCTGCTTTTTCCCTGCTGGCTGTAGTTCCCCCGGGTCCTCCCTCTGGTCAGATCAGCCTGCAGCAGCTGGATTATGAGAGAGTTTAAAGGGTCAGGACTTGGCTGCTGCTGCTGTCCATGGTGGCTGCTGTTCATGTTGGTTGCCTGGATACCATAGAGGTACACAAGGAACATCATATACAGCAGGATGGACATCACTAGATTCACCTGCAAAATCTGCAAAGATACAAAGAAACCCGTGTTAGATGACGCTACATGGCTGCTTTGTGTTGCTGACACGCAGCAATCACCCCTCTATGGGTCCTTTCCCATGAAGAGGACTTTTCTAAACAGATACAAAAAACAATCCTAAATATGTTGTTGGATGCAGGGTTTTCATTCTAAAGCTGTCATCATCGATTTTGCTCAAAGATGCTAAATCAGTTCAGAAACCGCTTTTACTTCAGTTTTATTATTGGCATCCCTTTACAGAGTCTGCAGCAATGCAGGAACTCGGCCACTATTCAGAATGTTTTAGTTGTTTCCCTGCTCCAACTCTCCGGATTCAGTGGCCTGTTCAGCAGCTCATCAGGCTCTGCAGAAGGCTGTTAATTATGATCAAAATCAGACACGTTGGAGCAGGGAGACAACTAAAACATGCTGGATAGTGGCCCTTGAGGACCAAAGTTACCTGCCGCAGCTTTAAGGCCACTCAGATGAAATCAATGAGGAAAAAATTCTTTTTTGGTTTTTAGTTTTATAATTTAAGTCAAAATGTTGAGGAAAAAGAAAAAATTTCAAGAAAAGTCCAAATATTTCAAGAATGAAGGGAAAACATTGACAAAAGTAACAACGATGAGAGAAAAAATCTAATTCAAATTGTTCTAGAAGAAAGCTGAAAAAGTTTAATTTGCATGAGCACGATAGCCATAATACCTGATGTTTATGAAGCATGCTGCCTTTTAACTTGTGAACATGTTTTTAAAGTGACAATTTGCAACTTTTTCATTTTTTAAATGATTTTCATGAGCCAGTATGTGCTAAAATGACCCTTTACCATCCATCCATTTTCATCCGCTTGTCCAGAGTCGGGTCGCAGGGGCAGTAGCCTAAAGCCTGATTTATGCTTCTCCATCTGCGTCAGTGCGGAGACACGCAACACCATTATCCGTCCTTGCGTAGGGCTCCGGCAGGCACGCAAGTACGTACGGAGTCAAGCCCACTTTTTTAAACATCCATCGAACGAGACGGATTACGCAAGCTTGTGATTGGTCAGGGTGCCGCTGTTGTTTACAGCGCCGCCATTGCAAAGAGAGCTGAGGATAACTAGCGGCAGACACGGAGAAGCTTGAAGATTACCTCGCGAAAAAACTCTAAAAATATGAACGTTTAATTCCCCCGTGACTGGAGGAGTGAAAAAATGCACAGCAAGCGTTTTATTTGTGGACGGAAATGACAGGAAACGTGGGTTTAGAGGTGGGGAGCACATGAAGCGGTGGGAGAATGAGAGACAAATATGTCTGTGTTAAAAGTCTCTTAAATACACAAAAAACACAATATAAACACACTATCTTGGACAGATACATGACAGGATACCACAGAACAGCGCTACGCCCTCTGTTGTCCTGCCGGGCAATTGCTTTGCAACACTCTCCAGGAGACGGAGAAGTATGAGAGCAAAATGCTTCCGTCAATCCGTGCGTGTCTGTCCCTTGCGGAGCTGACGGAGAAGCATAAACCAGGCTTAAGTCAAGAGGCCCAGATTTCCCTCTCCCAGCCACTTGGGTCAGCTCCTCTGGGGAATCCCAAGGCATTCCCTGGCCAGGTGAGAGACATAGTCCCTCCACCGTGTCCTGGGTCTACCTTTAGGTCTCCTCCCGGTTGGACGTGCCCGGAAAACCTCACCAGGGAGGCGTCCAGGAGGCATCCTGACCAGAAGCCCGAGCCACCTCAACTGGGTCCTCTCGATGTGGAGGAGCAGCGGGTCTACTCCGAGCCCCTCCCAGGTGACCGAGCTTCTCACCCTATCTCTAAGGGAGAGACCAGCCACTCTTCGGAAAAAACTCATTTCGGCCGCTTGTATCCGCGATCTCGTTCTTTCGGTCACTGGCCAAAGTTCATGACCATAGGTGAGGGTAGGAACGTTGATCGACCGGTAAATCGAGAGCTTCGCCTTTCGACTCAGCTCTCTCTTCACCACGACAGACCAGTACAACGCCCGCATCACTGCAGATGAAGCACCAGTCCGCCTATCGATCTCATGCTCCAGTTTTCCCTCACTCGTGAACAAGACCCCGAGATACTTAAACTCCTCCACTTGGGGCAGGGCCTCATCCCTGACCCGGAGAAGGCATTCTATCCTTTTCTGAATCAAGACTATGGTCTCAGATTTAGAGGAGCTGATTCACATCCCAGCTGCTTCACACTCAGATGCGAACCGCTCCAGCGAAAGCTGAAGATCAAGTTCTGATGAAGCCAACAGGACCACATCATCTGCAAAAAGCAGAGACCTGATCCTCAGGCCACCAAATCAGATGCCCTCCACACCTTGGCTGTGCCTAGAAATCCTGTCCATAAAGGTTATGAACAGAATCGGTGACAAAGGGCAGCCTTGGCAGAGTCCAACTCTCACTGGGAACGAGCCCGACTTACTGCCGGCAATGCGGACCAAGCTCTGACAACGGTCATACAGGGACCTAACAGCCCATATCAGAGGGCCTGGTACCCCATACTCCCAGAGTACCCCCCACAGGACCCCCCGAGGGACACGGTCAAACGCCTTCTCCAAATCCACAAAACACATGTAGACTGGTTGGGCTAATTCCAACACACCCTCCAGGATCCCCCTAAGGGTATAGAGCTGGTCCAGTGTTCCACGGCCAGAACAAAAAACACATTGCTCCTCCTGAATCTGAGGTTCAACAATCCGACAGACCCTCCTCTCCAGAACCCCTGAATAGACCTTACCAGGAAGGCTCAGGAGTGTGATCCCCCTGTAGTTGAAACACACCCTGCGGTCCCCCTTTTTAAATAAGGGAACCACCACCCCGGTCTGCCTGTCCAGTAGGACTGCCCCCGATGTCCACGCCATATTGCAGAGCAGCGTCAGCCAACACAGCCCCACAACATCCAGAGCCTTAAGGAACTCTGGGCGGATCTCATCCACCCCTGGAGCCTTGCCACAGAGGAGCTTTTTGACCACCTCAGTGACCTCAGCACCAGAGATTTGAGAGGCCAACCCAAAGTCCCCAGACTCTGCTTCCTCACTGGAAGACGTGTTGGTGGGATTGAGGAGGTCTTCGAAGAATTCTGCCCACCGTTCTTTCTGTGTTGCGTTTCTAATTCCATCTTTTATTTCTTTTAAAAACACAGAAGAGGTCTATTTACCTGCAACGTTTCGTTTGCGGCTGCAAACTTCGTCAGGCTGACGTTCCCAACAGACCCTCTGGGATCCATTTATGCGTCAGCCTGACGAAGTTTGCAGCCACAAACAAAACGTTGCAGGTAAATAAACCTCTTCTGTGTTTTTAAAAGAACTAAAAAATGGAACCTTCTTATCTTATTCTTTATCACATTTTCCAGTTGCCACGTGCTTCCTTCCATTAACTCCGACACAGGAAAGATCTTTACATTCTTGATGCATTTTCTAACAAGTAGAAATTAAGAAAACAGCTGACCACAGATAATTCTACTTAAGCCAAAGGGAATTAGACCATTTTAATGCTAAAGCATAAAACTGGTTATTGCTCTACACACATTGTAATGATTCAACTGAATTTATATTTTCTTGTGTCATTTGGAGCATTTTCTTGTGATTAGCTGAGTTCACCTGTGATGGACTGGCTCTCTGTCCAGTGTGTACCCCGTCTGACTGCCCATTGACTGCTGGAGTTAGCCCCCCCCCCCCCAGCGACCCTACATGGACAAGCGGGTTCAGAAAATGGATGGATGGATAGCTGAGTTAACCATGTTCATCAATTATGTCAACCAGCTAAGCTGCTGAGACTTCACCCATCCCTGTATATATAATACCTGCTTTCTCAGACTACTTTCTCCGGCTGTAGATTGTTCCTTGTGATCTCCTCCTGCTCATTCTGTTACCTGCTGTTGTACTTCTGACCCCCCTCCCACCATCACCGCCGCTGAGTTTGTGTTCAGGGTCCAAGTCAGCACCACACACACCGTGTCCTCAAAGACTACATTCATGCTCAAACCTAACAGTTTTATTTCCAGACTTTATTTTCACAAACTTCTTTGGCCAACTTTGATAAAACTTCACATGTTAATGGTCACCATCTGCAGACACATTCCAGATTTAACACACACTTTTGTTAACTTGGAGATGACATTGGGTTTTCCATCAACACAGCCTCATTCTCGGCCATCTTAAAGGAACAAGTGCCAAAAAAACCCGTGGTAAAACCTGTTAGCTAACACCAACCCATCCAGAACTAAGACCCAGTTCACACATTGATTTTCGACCAATTTCATATGGAGCCAACCTTAAAACATTCAAATTAAAACTTATTTACACACACAGATTAGAAATTTAGGGATTTGATTAAATGAATTTCCGGTGGTGGAAACAATCACTGCTATTAAACCCCTTAGTGTAATTTACGATGCTGGAGAAGGATAAGGAAGCACCGCGGGCAAACAAGTCTGATAAAAGCAAAAACACTAATAAAATACGCCTACTGATGCTTGGATGTTCTGGAGCTTTCTTCATGTGTGTTTGACTAAAAATCATATTTCTAGACACCTTTTTTTGTTTTTCTTGCAATGTTTTTCATGATTCAGGACTTTGTGCTGATGTGGTTGAGTCTGTTTGGTTCTAATGCTCTGTTCGTGTTCCGGTTTTCCTTCGCCTGCACCTTCAGCTGTCTACTCTCACATCCCCCGTCAGTTAAATTATACCTCATTATTCTTTTTTTAGGTCCGATTCTTCCCTCTCTGTGCCTCCTTCACCTTTTTTGAAAGTTTATTAGCTGCCCGGAAGCACCTTTGATTCTGTTTTATTTTATTAAAGTTATTCTTTTTCATCACTTGTCTAAACCCAGACTCAGATTGCATTTAGGTCCTGCATATTATTTATTTAGCGGTGAGCAGAGGCCATGTGACAAACCATAATTCATTTATTTATGTGAAGTACTATTTTAGACTTTGAGCTGATTCTTTTCCCCCAGGTATACTGGAGCCTATCAGCGACTAAAGCCTTACAGAATAGGAGGTTAACA